GTACCGGATCCAGCGTTGACGGGTGAGCTAGTCCCACTCGAAGTTCCACTCAACACAGTGTTGGCTGATGTGCTAGTCTCACCAGAGGTTGTACCAGATCCAGCGTTGACGGGTAAGCTAGTCCCACTCGAAGTTCCACTCAACACAGTGTTGGCTGATGTCCTAGTCTCACCAGAGGTTGTGACAGATTCAGTTTTGACTGGTGTGGTAGTTCCACTGGAAGCTATGCCTGATGATAATCATAAATACTGACAATTATACATTAAACTCATATACTTTGTGTTCAATGCTTATTTAATTGCATTTGGTGAATAAATCTATTGAATACTCACTATAGCCCTCTAAGATAGATACTGCTATCATTTCATGACAAACTGAGATGATGAAATTGAGGTTAGGCAATATTCAAATGCTTTCTCAAGTTTATACAGCTAGTAAGTAGTGGAACAGGAATGAAATCTTTGCTGTTGAATTTACACTTTTAACGCTATAATAAGGCACCCTCCCACTCACTCCAACACCAGGCTTACATGTACTGGTTTCACTGGAAGCTAAATTTATTCCTTAATCTGTTATACAAGATCCAATACTAAAAAACATACATAAAAAGGAATTGTAGGACTTAGGTGAAACTAGCCTATATTGATTAATGTATTCTAAAAGAGGAATTGCTCCTTTCCTCTTGGGTGATGTTTCTCAGAATTTTATTCAGAAAGTGCCTACTTCAGAATCACCTGTGAGAGCTTGCTGAAAATAAAGATTTTTAATTACATCACTCCAGGCAAAAGGAATGGGTTTTTGAGATGGGGACCAAGTATCTGTAAGTGACCAGGTAATTCTATGTGTACTATAGTTCCAGAGACTTCTGATCGCTATGCCAAAGGCTGCAGATGAACAAGTTATACATATCTCAAATGCATAAAACGTCCCACAGTTAAGGACTAAAACCCAAAGCCTACGGATATAGGAAAGCTTCTCAATTTTCTTTGAGGCTCAGCTGGAGTTAGTTTGTGCCTGTTTTCTGTCCTCACTTCGTGAAAGACTGAGACATTCCGCTTCCCCAGAGCCTGTAATTTCTCATTTCACTTTGGCTTATTTTACTGCTAACTTGTACATGGTTGCCTATCACCTCCCCCTCGAAATGTCTTAATGGGTGTATTTCACTCCTGTCTTAATTGAACTAACAGAGATTTAGAGTTTAGCTCTATTTTGGAAGACCTCCAAAGTCTGCAATGTGGTACAAATTGGGGTTAAGGTAAAAATCATGAATAAAACTAAATAAGCAGCTGAGATGATCAAGAGGTAGAGGTAGCATGAGAAAGAAGTAGCAGATTTGGTATGCACATTTTTGGAGAACAGAACAAATGAATCAAAATTATAGAATGGCAAACTAGTTCAAAATGATGAATTCTCTAAGACATCATTACTTTCCAGCTGTGCAGTAAAAAATGATCCACGAAGTGTTCAGTAGAGTGTCAGAGGCATAGAAACCAGGAGGGAATCGATTTTGACTCGAAAATCATGTTCTCAGTCTGAGTCTGACTTGACTGATGTACAATCAGTTACAGACAGGAGAATAAATTGGGTTAGAAAATATAAGAGTAATATTTTTAAAAACCCAACTCTTCTTGATCTTAACATTTCAATCCTCAATCATATCACATAGGATATTACCACTTTTCAGATTCAGAAACTAAGGCATAAAGAGGTTAAGCAACTCACCCAAAGCACATAACTAGGAGATGGAGCCATGATTCAGACTTAGGGCCAGAGTCTATAGTTTTGACCATTTGCTTTGACTACCTCCTGTGTAATAGATACACTGTTAGACTGAAGTGATTTGAATAAAATAATGATCCTCCCTGTTGTAGAAGAACCAGAGCTACTCCTAGTTGTTGTTTCCAACTCCCACAACCCTCAAAGGTTCTCAGACCACCCACTTGTAAATAAAATCACTCACCCGATTCTAAAAGTAGGAGATGTAATAGTAACCAATATATTAGGGGAATGTTTCCTTTCTGCATCTTGAGTTGCGCCTCTCTATATCAGTAAAGCAAGATTCCTGGATTCCAGATGTAGTCAAGACCTAGAGGGGAAAGAACAGTGAATTCTTGAGAAAACAGAGTTCAAGGTGAAGAAATAAAACTTGGGGCTTCTAAGAGCTTGGGTCTCCTACGTATGGGTTCTTAGGAAGAAACTTGAGCTTAGAGTGGGGTGGGAAGGAGAGCTCAATGCCTTGATTCCTTAGACTTCCTCCATATGATGCTGCCTGTATTATGCAGCTATAAAGCTTCAGGGCCTTTATAGCTTCTTATAAGCTGGGAAGGGGTGGAGCCTTTGATCCATTGCTTCCACCAACTGTGAGAAGGTAACAAAACAATACTGAGCCTAGGAAGGAATAGACTAGGGGGTCAAGAAGGTGAGAACAGTGAACAACATGATCACACTAGGAAGGGCACTGGGCTAGGCTAGAGCAGGAAGTACAATAGAATAAAGAGATCAAGGTTGTCAGATTACAGGGGACCCACCCTCAGGCAAATATGAGGACAGAAACCTGTTCTAGGGCAAGACTCAGTTTCCTGGTGTGGAAGCACTATGTGCTTAGCTTAGCATGGAAGAAACCTTAATAAACTGAGTTGGGGGAGCAGAATCCCTCATATCTAAGACAAAACAGAAATATGAAACTCAATCCAGAGCAGTTACTATGAAATTGGGTTCCTGGGTTATGGGCAGAAGACAAATAAGTGAACCATAGCTGGGTATGCAGTAGACATTCAACAAGTGTTGAATGAGTAAGAAAAGAGAGATTCAGAGAATAATTAAGCTGTCTTTGGCATCTCTAGAGCATGGGGGCTGAGAGTGTGAAGAGAGTGTTGAATATGAAGACACAAACCCCTGAAACTTTGTCAGAACCATAGCAAGTGAAGAGGTGGTACAAAGCCCCATTATGATTCACAACTATAGAAGCTCCCTTCTTTTTTGTTTTCAGAGGGATCCGTAAGAGCTTCTCCATCCTGAAATTCTTCCGATGTTCTGTCTGATCAGTCTCAATGAAGTATCTCTAGTAGAATACACCACAGGTTGAGGAACAGAGAGGCACCACCTTGGGAAACTTCAGGTCTGGTGGAGGAAGGGAGATAGATAAATAGTCAAAGTCACCCATGAGACCCAAGTCTGGTCTAGACATTTGAATGAAGTCAGCAGAAAAAGGACACATGGTCAGTTAAATTGGCAAGGTTGAACGGCAACAAGTGGGCAGAGAGTTTTTGTAAGCTCATAATGATGGTATCTTATGACTGAGAAGATGAGGATAAGAATTCTAGGGTACACTCTGGATAACCAAGATGCGTTGTCTCCATTTTCTTAACAGTGATGAAAAGCTTCATGGAAGAGGTGACATCCCAGCTAGGTTATTTTTGGGTGAGCCAACACTTCTAATATGTAAGAACTGTTAGAAGGAAGCTGGAAAGTAGGAGGTGGCTGAGGGTACGAAGGAATCTGGAACAAGTGAGTCTGAGAGGCACAAATGAACTGGCTGCACTGGAAAGGCTGAGAAGTGGATCTGCCTAGTGACTGTGATAGGAAATTTCGGATTCTAAGGTGGGAGGTCAATGGCAGGTTGAGTTCTGGACTCCCAACAATCCTGATAAGTGGCTGAAAGTTCAATTGCGCTCTTGGAAAGAAATATCTTTTTCCTCTCTAGAATCATTAAGAAGCAGAGATCCTGGCTTCTCATCTAGACTCAACCATTTACAGTTGTTTGATCCATACAACCCTTCTCTAAGCTTCACCTTCCTCATTTATAAACTAAGAGTAATGAATATTTGATTGGAATGAATATTTTAAATGTGGTTCTATTAAATACTGAGAAAAGAAAAACATTTATTATATGATCATTCAAGCATATCTGGTATTAAGACTCACAACACCATGAACATCTGTGTAGTCCCATCCCTTTAAGAACAGTAGGTCTCTCTCTCGGATCCTCTTTTCCAAGATGACAAAGAAAAGGAGAAACAATGGTAGTGCCTAAAAGAGCTGCAGCCACATGCAGCCTATTCGCTGCATGAACTGTGCCCACTGCATGACCAAAGACAAAACCATTAAGAAGTTCGTAATTCCAAGCATGGTAGAGGCCGCAGTCATGAGGGATATTTCCGAAGTGAGTGTTTTCAATGCATATGTGGTTCCCAAGCTGTACATGAAACTACGTTATTGTGTGAACAGTGCCAGTCACAATGAGGTGGTTAGGACCATCTCATGAAGCCCAGAAGGACTGAAGACCCCTACCCCGATTTAGACTTGCAGGTGCTGTCCCATGACCGCCACCAAAGTCCATGTAAAGAATTGAGCCCTGAAAGGCTGAAGAAAAACTAACCTGCAAGAAAATAAAATGAAAATTATACTTTATGGCATGTTAGGTGTTTGTTTGTGTCAGATAGGAAGGGGGTTTGGGGTATGTCCAAGGGCCTCATAGAATTACCAAGTATTCAAGTAAGTGAGATGCCACACACTTTTTAAAAAATTGTGGTAGATATGATTAGGGGGCTACAAAAAAATGTGGAAAAGTTCCATGTTTTAAATGGTACAAATTGTTTGCCAATTCTTCAGGTGTATAAAACTTAAAGTTATGCTTGTTTATAAGAGAAAAGAAAGAAAGAAAGAACAATGCCATCACCTTTACAGTCTCCTATGTGACATCAAGATCATCATACAGGAAAAAAGCACAGGCTATTAAGAAAACAAGAAGGAAAAGACCAACACTGATGCCAGAA